TCCAAGTGAAAATAAAACGGACGAACTAAATGCTCTGTTAAAATTTGACTGAGCCTATCGAAATGCTAATCTTATTTGTATCACCGAAGCGTGGCTCAATGAGTATGTACCGGACTGTAGCGTAAATATTGAAGGCTTTTCATGTATTCGTGGAGATCGAACTGCAGAATCAAATAAGTCTAAAGGCGGTGGAACGTGTTGTTATATAAATAAGAGATGGTGTTCAGATATAACAGTTATCAGTAAATTTTGTACAAATGACTATGAATTACTGTCGTTATCACTTAAGCCATTTTATCTGCTAGAGAATTTGGATGTATCAAAGTCATCATTGTTTATGAACCTGGAAATATCTCGAACACACTTGACTGTTGTTACATATCTCATGCTTACAAATCTTTTAAGTTTCCTGCAATCGGTGCATCCGATCATCAGGTTATACAGTTATTACCTACTTATAAGAAAAAATTAAAAACAAGCAAGGTGGAAACAAAGACAATTAAATTATGGTACCCTGACCATATTGAAAAACTCAAGGGTTGCTTAGAGGCTACAAATTGGAGCATATTTATCGACAACAGCCGTGATATTCATGAATTGACAAATACTGTTACATCATATATTTCCTTTTGTGTGGATCTTGCTATTCCGCTAAAACTGATTAAAGTGTACCCGAATGATAAGCCCTGGCTAGATTATGATGTTAAACTGGCTTTAAAAAATAAAATACTTGCATTTAAGAATAATGACAAAAATGGTCTTAAAATAGCTAAATCAAAATTAAAATCTTCCATTAAAAAGGCTAAACAGAAATTTAAGAGGAAAATTGAGCAATTTGTAGCTAATAATTCTAGAGAAACTTGGAATGACGTAACATTAATAACCGGTTGTAGGGCTAAAACCTCCTTTAAAATGCTCCCAAGTTTTAATGATGAAAGCTTAGCCTCATCCCTATATAATTTCTATACTCGTTTTGACGACAGAAACTTTGATGAGGAAAATATTACCTTTTGTAGAAATTTGAACTCCGAAAATTGCCCTGTTAATATAACTGTTGAGGAAGTTATAAAACTTTTTCGTAAAATCAAAATTAGGAAAGCAGCTGGACCTGATGGGTTGGCAGGCATACTTATTCGGGAATTTGCAACACAAATTGCTCCTGTTTTTCAATATATTTTTCAGTTATCACTCCGTCAATGTGTTATTCCTTCTATTTGGAAACATTCTTTAATTATTCCCATACCGAAGTCGTCAACTGTGAGTAATCTAAATGATTACAGACCAATTGCACTGACGTCACTGATCATGAAATGTCTGGAGAGGTTTGTAGTTAAGCAAATAAAACCAGTTATAGAACCGAAACTTGATCCCATGCAGTTCGCATACAGGGCGCATCATGGTGTGGAGGATGCTACAGCAACCCTTGTCCACTACACCAAAAAACATTTAGAAGCATCAAATTCATATGCAAGGCTTCTCTTCATTGATTTCTCTTCCGCATTTAATACTTTGCAAAGTCATGTGCTTCTTCCTAAACTTCTTAAATTTGGTATCAATCATTCTATTATTCTCTGGATCAGAGACTTTCTTCACCTCAGAACACAACAAGTCAAAATAAAACAAACTTTTTCTTCTATCATCTATAATAGCACTGGTTCTCCACAGGGTTGTGTTCTCTCACCCTTGCTGTACATCCTCTACACCAACGACTATCGTACCCTGACTGAGAATTGCATGGCAATCAAATACGCTGATGACACCGTCCTTGTCAGTTTAAACAATGGCCCCCCAATCCCTTAATAATTATTTAATTGATGTGACCTATTTTTCAAATTGGTGTAAGAACCATTTCCGTAAAATCAATCTAAAGAAAACATGTGAACTTATCATTGATTTTAGGAAGAAAAATAGGTCAGACCATGAACCACTGAATATTGATGGTGAACAGATTAAAGTTTTTCCCGAGTACAAATATTTAGGTACTGTGATTGATGAAAAATATGAATGGTCCAGTAATACACTTAGACTGTACAAAAAAGGCCAGCAACGACTTCATATGTTACGGCAACTTAGGAAATTTAATGTTGATAAAGAAATTCTAGAAATATTCTACCAATCAATGATACTCAGTGTGATTTCTTTCTGTCGGATTATATGGGAAGCTAGCTTATATGAAAAAGATAAGGGATTGTTGGCGAAGATCACTAAAAGGGCGGGGCGTGCAATAGGAGTAGATTCTTCTAAGCTCAATTTTAAGTATAATGCAGGTGTTCTCTCCATGCTCCATGGTAAGACGCATACTTTCTCAAAATGATCATCCACTCTACAACGAGTACAATTTTCTCCCATCCCATATCCGTATTCGCTCTTTACCTAGTCGTACTAAACGCTATAACAAATCGTTTGTTCCACATTCTATTGTAATTTACAACAAATATGTTGAAAGATAATTTTTGCTACCCATGGAGAGAACACCTTGATCATATCATATCAATATCAATCTAATTAATAATCGTAAATTTTATTGTATTACCTAAAGTATTTATTTGAATTGTATATATTAAATTGTTTTTGCCGTTTAACATAACTTTTTCTATTTTAAATTGTAATTGAATTGTGTTTCTTAACCTTTTATATGTAATTGTATATTGAATTTCTTACCTTTTATTGCAGTGTATAAATGAAGAATTTCTGATGTATTTATTTTAAATATATTAGACCAATAAAGAATAAAGAATGTTCACCCATACACAAACTTTAGGAGTGACAACAGCTAAAAATTAGACCAGACAACATCGCACATATATTTATAAGCTCAATTTTATTTCTGGCAAGTTTGGCTACCAAGACTGCTTAAAAAAATAACAAATTTGCATAAAGTATGAATCATTGTTATCAAATATGTGGTCTGCATTGTTTCGGCACAAAAACAAGTATTCGTTCATATCCGTCACACACATGATGCATACATATACCACCTTATATAATACCTTTATTAATATTGCAGATAAGAAAACACAGTTTTGTATCTTAGTACAATCATCTTCTCGAATTACGTTTTGTAATGACATTCTAATCGGCCTAAATTGTATTTTCAGCTTTTCTTAACTTGCCAAGCGTGACATGCATAAGGTAATATCATACTAATTGTTGCCCAGTTATATAATATATTATTTATTTATTTCTATAATTTTTTTATATATTTATATTTGTATGCATAACAGTAGTTTATTGTACTTTGAAACTATATTTTATTGTAATGTCAGATAAATGAATTTGAATTAAATAATAATAATAATAATAATAATAATAATTATTATTATTATTATTGTTATTGTTATTATTATTATTATCATCATCCTCATCATCATCCTCATCATCATCATCATCATCATTATTATTTGGACATAGCCCTACAACAACTACGAATCGAAATTCATCAACATTTTATTTCCACCTAAGTACAATTAAATTTACCTTTTCTCTTTCTGTACAATAAAATATCTTTTAATTGCTTTACCTTGCTTTTTTTTTGACACAAAGTGCTAACGTTTACACTTCCCTCTCTCCCTAAAGAATACCAATCTTTACCCCAACCTCGCTAAACAAAACTAACTGTATCAAAAAAACATGGACAGAGGAAACGTAGAACATAAAAGTATTAATGAGGAAAAACACACTATAATAATAACAATAATAATAATAATATTAATAAACATAACATAGACATAATAGTAATAAGATAGAGATAAATAAAATCGGTTGGTACAGTACCATTATAGGGCAAACCTAATTGCTATGTTACCAAAACACAGTAACAACAATAACAATAATAATAATAATAATTATAATAATAATAATAATAATAATAATAATAATTATTATTATTATTATTATTATTATTATTAAATATTTGTTTTAGTTTAAACACATTGAGAAATTGTCTACCAAAACAACAACAAAAATGGTGGTGTGACCATTGTATAAATATGAATATAGGAATTATTAAAGATATAAGCTTCATATTAATCACTACTATATCGATCGAATATGGAAAAAAATATACTTATATTCACTATTTACATCTTTAGTATTATGCTATATAGTACATGACTATGATTTATCTAGGCCTAAGTTACTTGCATATGTATTTGTAAATTACAACCACAACAAAAGAACTAAAACAACTCAAATTTTAAATACAGAAAGTTATTTTACATAAGCCTGTTATATTATACATGATAAATGACAATTTAAGAAGGAAATAATAGTAGGCATACTCTACTACAATGCCCCCTTAACATGCCATCACGATGGAGCAACAGACTGTTCTTTACCAACTGAGTTATAATTTAACTCAGTCAATATCCAAGCACATAATACTTTAAACAATGTCATGTCTGCATCCTTTTTTATTATGCTATGCTAATTGAAACATCTTCAAATTACTACATTTTTACTGCCGTAGAAAACGTTAAGTACCTACAATTCAATAGACCTAAAATTCTTTCACAATACGCTACATTTTCATGGTGCGTGCAAAGATGAAGGCTAAGAACTGCACAATGACGACCAGATCGATACAACCATTAAACCATAAAATAATATCAAAATATATTTATATTTTTTCAAGAGTTTGCAGCTCGTAAATCCCTAGTACTACAGCTTCATAAGATGTACTAGAATTTCTCAGCCTTATTTTGGAAGTCAAACGAGATTAATTCTCTCGTTATATCCTACTATACAAACCATGAAATAATTTCATGTCTATCAAAGACATGAGACCCCAAAAAAAGACAGAAATGCTTACAAGATTTAGATACAAACGCAAAAACCCCAATTTGGTCTAATAGTGCTGACGTAGTTATAAATACGCCCTACATTATATAATTTATTATAACGATTATAGTCTTTACATTATTACCACAATATATATATATATATAATATATATATATATATATATATAT